CAATACGATTGTCTGCAGCGATGCTATCGTAAGCAATACGACAGTCAATACCCAAACACAACGCCCTGTTATGCGGACAACGATTTGCGAACAATTCAGTTAACGATTGGCAATAAAATTGTGACGGATTTTGTTAATCAATGTTCCGATCGATTGTATATTAACTATAAATATTGTCGACACAAATGTCCGCCCGATTGTCGGCAAACTATATACCGTACACTAGAAATGGAAATGTTTTATGATGCATTTTATAAATACTATGCGAGAACAACCTTTTCATTCGCAAATAATTATTATTTGCAAATCAATTATACACCGAAAATTGTATTCATTACGCTTATCATTAATATAATCAATGTATTGAGTCTATGGCACGGACTCACAATTGTTGCTATTTTACAGAATTTAATTTACAATTTGGCGAACAAATTAAATGTGATTTTAATCGTACGGTTCGTTCGGCGACATCTATGCTGTCGATTTGATCGGATATCGATTTTCATATCGCTATATAGCAGGGTAATTTATCTACAAAAATTGTTTAATTAAATCCAAATAAAAAATGTGCATGATTTAACAAAGTAGATATTATAATATATAATATAGTTTTATAATATAGCGTGTAGATTTAAGGCCATAACCTTTAATAATTATAATCAATTATAAAATCAATTTAAGCGCACATTCCTTTGCATAATGGCGACAATACTTGGCTACCAATTATACGACGTGTCGGTCGACTATTTTGCGTACAAAACGGTTACCGTATTTGAAGTAATGGACAACTCAATGGACCCGCACTTACCGCACATATCACTTGTATATGATATGAGTATTTTAGATGAAAACCATCGCGATATTAAATGTTTACAATCGCCGCGTTTGTCTCAATGCCAACCGGCGACTATCGCCGGTTCGCTGTTTAACAGTACCTTAATTGACGCCACCGGTCGTACCCACATAGCCGTCGGCGCGGCTGTAGACAAGTGGCCGGGCGTTGATATACGGTCGACGAGACGACTTATGACGTATCAATTAAATCTACCATCTTACGTAATATTAAGCCTATTAACCGTGAGTCAAATGGGCGGCAATAGTAGCGAATGGGTCGCGCGACCGACAAACCGCGTTCGCCAGTTCGCGGTCATTCGCCGTTGGAGTAAAACATTCAACGCTGACCTGAAGTATGTATTACTTCACTACAAATCGGTGCCAGACTTCCAACGCTTTATGAGCGACGAACCCCTCTTGACATCCGTTATCCACACGTTTGTCGTAACGAAAACCACGCGCCGACTGTTGCCCGCGCCGTACGGCCGGTGCAGTCACTACGGCTCAGACCCGTCGACAGGTGCCGAGGGGTCGGGCAGTGGACAACCGTTTAGTGCGATCTCTCACTGGCATTGTATGAAAAGATGTCGATTGAGTGACGTTAGGAAACGTGTTGATGATTTGTGCACTTTATATACAGTGGATAATATTATTTACGATTTAGATTATGATGATCACATGATTAACAAAAGTTGTGTCGCTAATTTGCCATGGACAAGTATATATCATATGAAGATTACAGAAATACACGATGTAAGTATGCAAAATAAATGGTAATTGTATATAATTTAATTGCATATAAATTATTTTAATGCTCATATAATTGGGTCTTAATTTAATTAATATTTTATATATATTTTTTATTTAGCCTGAAGTGTCGATTCAGTGTCTGTCGTATTGTCCGCCCGATTGTCTGGCAATCGATTATCGCTCGCGTGTTGTCAACGATAACAAGGATTACATTCAAAACGTTTGGTATAATATCGACCGAAAGGACGACTGGTATTTGCCCCTTTAGTAATAAAAGTATTACTGGTTTTTAAAGTCCCTGTTCGATTCAATGACCTCCCAAGTGCTCCGGTAGTTGCACTGTATGTTTTGCTTGTTGGGGGCGTAGATATTGTGCCGCAATCGCGGATCATCAGTATCGTTTTGGCAAAATTTTTCAATCTAGCAACGATTTATTACAATTAAATGACAATATAAACACTTTATGTTACATTTATAACATTTTTAGCTTAATTAACAGAACATTATTATGTTAGTTAAAGTCTAATACAAACTGTAAAATTTATAGTTTTGTATTAAATAATCATGATGTGAATTTATATTTCATTTTAAATGGGATCAACGAGATATACCCTTTTTAATTAATTAATTATTAAATTTAAAGTAATTTTTATTTACAATATTATTAATTAATTATAATATTTAATTTTCTAATTGTGGTAAATAAATTTTATAAATTAAACAACCATAGAACAATAATAGATAGTTATACTCACAGATTTCATGTGTGGCATAAACATAATGGATGCCAAGGCATTGGTGTCCATAGGGTCGGGCACAAAGCGACAGTCCGGTGCCACCTGACCCCCGGCGTATATTTTACACGGCTTACCCTCCATGTCTTCCTGGCGACCCTTAATTCCTTTTACGCACGTGGTCGGATATATCTTTAATAAATTTACAATTAATATTAGCATATAGAATTTTATATTAAGCTACTTTTAACATGATAATAATGTTTAACATACGGTCCCGTTTTCCATATAAAATGCCGGGTATTTCGGGTCGCCATCGGCTGAGTACTCGTCAAACACACCGTACCTATAGTGAGCCCATTCGTGAACCAGGTGCTTTTCTAATTGGGTAGTCAGCATTTTGTGTATATAAATTTTTACAATCATTCATTCTAATAATATTAGTTAACAGAGTTTTCGTACTTACCGTACAAAATACTTCAATAAATATATTATACTATTATAATAATTTTTATTATATAAAGTATATTATAAACTAACTTAATATTTTTAGCATTATTAAATAATATCATGTTATTAAGTTAGTTAAATTTAAATAATTATTAAGTCTGATTTAAACTGTAAAATGTATTTTTTTGTATTAAATAATCATGATGTGGTCGTGTATTTAGTTTTAATTGGAGAATCTCCCAAACATGTAATTAATTTTAATAAGATTAATTCATAGTGTTTTCGTACACTAAATAAATACATTTATAAATATTGTTATCATTATTAACAAAACATTATTAAGTTAGTTAAAGTCCAATACAAACTGTAAAATAAACTTTTATTAATTAAATAATCCTGATTTGATTTTGTATTATGTTTAAAATTGGGCTATTAAAACAAGAGTTATTCAATTGTTTTAATTTGCTAATTATTAAATTCAAACTAATTTTAATTAACAATATTATTTATTTATTTTAATATTTAATTCTCTAATTGTGGTAAATAAATTAGATAAATTAAACAAATATAAAACAATTAAATACCTGGATAATCAAACTTCTCACTCGCCTTATCGTCTAATAGACTTTCTATAAACCCGTCGGTCAACTGTATATACTCGCCGGGCTGTCCGCAGCCCCGGGGCTGATAGGTGTAGGGCTTGTTTGTCTTAACCCTATCAGTCAGGGTCACAATTGCTGCAAATTAGCGATCAAACGGTCCGATTCGGGCACATCTGAGTGGATGGCAATTGTGATCCCCCGATAGCCCCCGTTGATAAACGTGATCGGTTTGGGACTACCCTGTGTGTAGTTGATGATGGTTATTATGATGGTGATTAGTAGCAGGTTTGCAAGATTCACCTTTTTTCACTGATGGTGTTTTTTGCTGTATTTCTGCCTCATAATTCAATAGACTCTCCATAAACCCGTCGGTCAACTGTATATACTCGCCGGGCTGTCCGCAGCCCCGGGGCTGATAAGTGTAGGGCCTGTTTGTCTTAACCCTATCAGTCGGGGCCACTCTGACATGTGCCCCATCGTAATGACCGCCGCCCACCACCGACTCGTACCCGTCCCTCATTGGCCACGTATGGGGTATAATCACCTCGAGCTCAACAAAGCGGGCCCTCCCGCCAGTGGCCCGGTATAGAAATTGTGAGCCGTTTCGTCACAAGTGCTGTAAATTAGCGATCAAACGGTCCGATTCGGGCACATCTGAGTGGATGGCAATTGTGATCCCTCGATAGCCCCCGTTGATGAACGTGATCGGTTTGGGACTATTCTGGGTGTAGTTGATGATGGTTATTATGATGGTGATTAATAACAGGTTTACAAGATTCACCATTTTTTCACTGATGGTGTTTTTGTTGCTGGTAACCTAGTTATGGTTTTTGCTGTACTTTTGCGTTAGTTGTTTTTTGCTATACTGTACTAATTGTTGGCTAAAAATATAATTGTATTTAATTTAATGGCTAACTATTTATATGTGTTTTTTGGAAATCAGTATTTGTTTTAAGGAGAAAATTTATTGTGTTTTGTATTTTCAGTTTTTAATGCAATTTCTTACTTATTCGCACAATTAGCATAAGTCATTACTGTTAACTCTTGTATCTTGGACTCTTATATCTTGAATTTTTGCCTAACTTGGACTCAAACATTGAGTCCCAATTCACTCCATAGGAGCTTAATGTTAAATTCTCTCCTAACTTGGACTTTCTATCTTGGACTTTGGACTTATTTTCCGAGACCCAATAACTATTTTAGTGTCTCGTAACTTGGATTTTTAAAATATACCATAAATATCGTCGCATAAAAATTATTTTAACGAAAACTTGTCTATATTTTATACAAAAATTATACATTTTTTCGGAAATAATCGTGTTTTGTTATTAATTAGTAATTTTGTGACCATTTTACTATTAATTGTTATAAGTAACATAATTAAAAAGATTAATAATCCTAAATTTAGTCGGTATTTTACATGAATTTAAAACTGACCTTCTATCTTGGAATTTTACTATATCTATCTTGGATTTTTCTATCTTGGATTCCTTCTATCTTGGACTAATTTCTCTGGCCCGAGACTGGTCCAAGATACAAGAGTTAACAGTATTACAATTACATACAATTAAGTTTAACTAATGATTTTTTATATAACAATATCTGGTACCTCACAATCAAAACAAACTATTATAGAATATACAAAATATTAATTGTGTTTTGAATTACAGTTTAAACTTAAAGCAATTTATTGCTAGTTTTATGTTTAATTATTTGTTTAAACTAATTATAAATAAATGTGTAATCAATTGATTTTTCGTTAAATATAGGGATTTGACACAGAATTGCACTTTTCATCCGTTAGATTATATTAACGTTTATTTTGTTAATATTTTCACCAAAAATATCATTGAATTCATTCATTATATTCTTTATATCTCGTTTTCTCTCTTCTGATCTCTCGAGTAATCCATCGATAAATGCCTCGATTTGATCGACATTTACAGTCAGCTTTAGGATACACATAGATCATGGAAAAGTGACTACCATTGTTGCCCTTGCCATTCATTTTATACTTTAACAAATGTTCATGTAGTCTTTGTTATTTGTTTAGTAAATGTCAACCTGGTCATGATCTATGTGTATCCTAAAGCTGACTGTAAATGTCGATCAAATCGAGGCATTTATCGATGGATTACTCGAGAGATCAGAAGAGAGAAAACGAGATATAAAGAA